TTATATTATATTAATAATAATGATTTATGTTATATTATATTAATAATAATGATTTATGTTATATTATATTAATAATAATGATTTATGTTATATTATATTAATAATAATGATTTATGTTATATTATATTATATTAATGATTTATGTTATATTATATTAATAGTAATGATTTATGTTATATTATATTAATAATGATTTATGTTATATTATATTAATAATAATGATTTATGTTATATTATATTAATAATGATTTATGTTATATTATATTAATAATGATTTATGTTATATTATATTAATAGTAATGATTTATGTTATATTATATTAATAGTAATGATTTATGTTATATTATATTAATAGTAATGATTTATGTTATATTATATTAATAATGATTTATGTTATATTATATTAATAATGATTTATGTTATATTATATTAATAGTAATGATTTATGTTATATTATATTAATAGTAATGATTTATGTTATATTATATTAATGATTTATGTTATATTATATTAATAGTAATGATTTATGTTATATTATATTAATAGTAATGATTTATGTTATATTATATTAATAATGATTTATGTTATATTATATTAATAATGATTTATGTTATATTATATTAATGATTTATGTTATATTATATTAATAATGATTTATGTTATATTATATTAATGATTTATGTTATATTATATTAATGATTTATGTTATATTATATTAATGATTTATGTTATATTATATTAATAATGATTTATGTTATATTATATTAATAGTAATGATTTATGTTATATTATATTAATAATGATTTATGTTATATTAATAATGATTTATGTTATATTATATTAATAGTAATGATTTATGTTATATTATAGTAATAGTAATGATGATTTATTTTATATTAATAATGATTTATGTTATATTATATTAATAGTAATGATTTATATTATATTAATAGTAATGATTTATGTTATATTATAGTAATAGTAATGATGATTTATTTTATATTAATAATGATTTATGTTATATTATATTAATAGTAATGATTTATGTTATATTATATTAATGATGATTTATTTTATATTAATAATGATTTATGTTATATAATATTAATAATGATTATAAAGGCAGGTGAGTGCTCACATTGTTATTATTATTATTGTTACTGTTATATAATAACTATATTGGTAGCCGGTGGTGGAGGTACTTACCGATAGCCGGTGTGTCGCTCTCTGTATTACGGGCCCCGGGACTCAACACGGACACACTGTGCGAGCTGCGTGCACACTAACTGCGCATGCGTGCAGCACAGAGACACTAACTGCGCATGCGTGCATGACAGAGACACTAACTGCGCATGCGTGCAAGACAGAGACACTAACTGCGCATGCGTGCAGGACAGAGACACTAAGTGCGCATGCGTGCAAGACAGAGACACTAACTGCGCATGCGTGCAGGACAGAGACACTAACTGCGCACGCGTGCAGCACAGAGACACTAACTGCGCATGCGTGCATGACAGGGACACTAACTGCGCCTGCGAAAAAAAATAACACTAAAAGCGCATGCGTGGATATATGATACTAACTGCGCATGCGTGCATGACAGAAACACTAACTGCGCACGCATGCGTACATCACAACTATACTAACTGCGCATGCGTGGAAAACATGACACTATCTGCGCGTGCGCTGATTACTTTTCCCGCCTAGAAACCGGATGGTGCTCACTCCTCCCCGACAGGATATAGAAGGGGATGTGACGTCACTGGAACCTGCTGACTTCCGATGTCACGCGAGCAGGAGGCGGGAAATTTAAATCAGTAGCAGCTGCTGTGATTTATAACATGTGTTCTGCCTGTCAATCACACCCACTGACTGTCTGTCAATCATACTGTCTGTCAATCACACCCACTGACTGTCTGTCAATCACACCCACTGACTGTCTGTCAATCACACTGTCTGTCAATCACACCCACTGACTGTCTGTCAATCACACTGTGTCACTCACACCCACTGACTGTCAATCACACTGTCTGTCAATCACACCCACTGACTGTCTGTCAATCATACTGTCTGTCAATCACACCCACTGACTGTCTGTCAATCACACCCACTGACTGTCTGTCAATCACACCCACTGACTGTCTGTCAATCACACTGTCTGTCAATCACACCCACTGACTGTCTGTCAATCACACTGTGTCACTCACACCCACTGACTGTCACTCACACTGTCTGTCAATAACACCCACCGACCGTCAGTCACACTGTTCGTCAATCACACCCACCGTGGACTGTCAATCACACCGCCCGCTCAATCACACCCACCGAC